CATGATTTATGCGACCAGAGACCTCTACATTACCTTTTAAATCTCGTATTTACGGATTAGTGTTGTGTGTGTAGGACAAGAAACGTTGACAGATAGATTTCATGCAGATGCAAATGTAAATAATTCCAACTCCTCCACAGATAGCGATTCGAATTGCCGCAAGACAAAAGAATTTAATTTCCATGAAAAAAAAAAATTCCAGTCGCTTCCGCAATAGTTCTCGAGGAAAAACTTTTCCGAGGGGAAAAATTAATTGTTGAAATACCTCAAGAACTTTAGTTAATTAGAATTACCTCGAGTGGGCGTTAAACACCACTTTAAACCAGCAATTTACCTAATTTTTATATGGCGATCCTTAAACTCGCGTTTACTATTTATTATGATGATATTTTAAAATATAATTAGAAAAGTAATCCAAAGAGAACGCTCGGGTGAATTAAATAAGAAATAACGGCTATAACTACATAATTACACTCTAACTTAGTGATTCGTGTTGTGAAAGTTTTGAAGGTGTAAGACAGGGAGTCACATCAGTGTGATAAGTATTTATGGCAAGAAGATACTGAATTTAATTCGAGAGTTTACAATGTAAAACGGCCGTCTGACGCCGTCCGGGGTTAATCTACTGTGAAGCGAAAAAAAAAACTAAAAGAAATGGTGGCACGAGTTGAATACGTGCAGTAAAGACACATCTTCGGATGCAAATTCACGGCGAATTTTAGAGCAGAGGATGAAAGACGAAACCAGAGAGAAACTAGAAACTAAGGAACCGTGGAATACAAGAAACTAGGATATTTAATGAAAATATAGCTGAATAATTCTTTCTTTTTGCAACACGGACTTACCCCAGACACGTCGCTCGTTAACAACCTCGCGATCTACGAATAAAAAATCAAGAAGATACCTTTGAGCAATTACCACGTGAAATTAATGGATTTTGTGATAAAAGTGAAAAGTTTTTTATGTTAAATTACGAATGGCAGAGTTAAATTATTCTTTATACCAAATAGTAAAATTTCACCGAAATATCAATGAAATTCAGAGAACAGCGGATTGTTTCAATTTTTCATGAGAGATCAATCATAAAATGGATGGCACGTGGAAGTAATGGATTTTGTGGTCGAAACAAAAAGTTCTTCATCGACTGGAGTAAATAAAAAAATATAAAAATTATTCTCTACTCAAAAATCAGTAGACATGATGTGAAATAGCAATTAAATCGAGCAAAAAATATATTAATTCAATCATCCATCAGTCATAAATCGTAAACCAATGACAAAAAAGTTTCGACAAAAAGAGAATAGATTTTGTGGTCAAAATAGAAATAGAAAAAACTTTTCATTATCAAAATGGAAAGTAAAAAATTGAAAAATAATTTTCCACTCACAAATCCGTTGATATAAACTGATATATCAATTAAATCGCAGAGATAATGAACTAATCAACTTTTTTCGACTATAAATCATGGAGCTAATGGAAAAAAGTTCCAGAAAAGGAAAAAAATTTTGCGGTAAAAATAGAAACAAAAAGAGTTATTCGTTGAAAAAATGTGAATGAAAAAATTGAAAAATTATTTTTTATTTAAAAACACAGGAGATATGAACGGACATATTGATTAAATTGCGGAATCGATGGGTTGGTTCAATTTTTCATCAAGTATGAATCTTGAAGCCACTGAACAAAAGGTTGTACGAGATTTGAGTTGAGACATTATCATTTCAACATCGAGATTTGAGATTATATCCCTAATGAAATTGTTCTACGAGGATATGAAATACTGGTGAAACGAGGGCAAGATCACAGCTGATCGTAGCGGTGATAAAAACAACGAGTTTACTACTGACTGTTAAACTCGAAAGCCAAGGATGAGCAGATGCTAGAATATTGTCTCTCACTGAATATACACGTAATTAACCATCTTTATGATTATGAAGTTATAACTCGAGCTCCTTTCTTGTTTTTCTCCTTGTTCCCACAATCTTGAAATTTATGCGCAGGACATTTTCCCTCGG